GGGTTAGTGAGAGATGAAAATCTGGCACTACCTGCTGATTGTGGAATTGGTATAACTACCTAAGACATGAATCCACGGAGGATTTCCAATACATGAACGTATGCACCACAGGGACCCAAATATGTAAATTGCAACATGTAAACCACAGGGAGTCCAAAATTTAGAACCCACAGGGGGTTCTAACAGGTGAACCAGTGAATTATTTATCCCAGAGATCCATCAGGGACTCAAACATGCAAACGAAGAGAAACCCACATGTCCAAACTTGTGACTTCACAATACTTTTTTTGCATGTTCATCAGCTTGTGCTTAACAGCACTTACTCCATGTCTCACTTCAATGCTGTTTCTAACATCTCCCTTTCCAGGAAGCTACTGAAAAGCTAGAATTGCCAGGTGCCAATAACTCAGATTCAAAAAGCACCTCTAAATTCCTCATAACACAACACTGTACACCAAACGTAAGGGCTACTTCTGTCATTCTACTTTTAAAAATCATGTAAACAGTTGAAATAGTCTAGAGACAATGATTTGAATCCATGAACACCACTTATCGCAAGACTGTAGTAGTACACCACAGGGTTCCCAACCTCAGTGTTACTTCTTTTATTCTTCTTTAGAAATCACGTAAATGATTGAAATAGTCTGGCGACAATGATTTGAATCCATGATTAACATGCATGAACACCTCTTATCACAACACTGCACTCCACAGGGTCCCAACTTCATGCTGCATCTTTCATTCTTCTTTTAAAAATCATGGAAACAGTTGAAATAGTCTGGTGCAGGAGACAATGATTTGAATTCTCCACAGGATTCCCAACTTCAATGCTACTTCATCATTCTTTCAGAAATCAATTGACCAGTTGAAATAGTCTGGTGACAATGATTCAAATCCAACAAACAGCTCTCCTTTGTAATTTACTCTCACTGAGTAAGTGTTCAGTGTTATATTCCTTTTGTGGGTTTCTTTCAGACGGCCTGTTTGTAGGCAATACCTGTACTTCCAGCCATGCCAAAGATATACAACACATGGCAACGCTGCCAGGGCAATTTCTTCAATTTCCCCAAGATGGAGGTGTCCACCTACAGAGAATGGACACGAGTTTACAACTCTATCTCTCAATGATCAATCTTTGGAGGTGCAATGGTGTACTAATGCATTGGATTTTCCATATGAAGGTGACCTAAAGAAATTCTGTTTGTTTGCGTTTCTTGAAAAAAGACACTTTGCTTCTTTGATTCATCGCCTCTCTTCACACAAGTGTATAAGCAGCTACTAGCATGTTATGGACTGCTGGTACTAGCAGTGTAATGTCGTCTGTATCATGTTGTTTCCCTACAGGTGAGTAACTGTGCTCCAAATAGTCTCTCCACCCTGTTGTAGCATTTGAATTCTAGTAATATAATGCTGGGAGTCTCATAATGTTTTCTTACCGGCAAGAAACTTTGCTATTTCTTTTGCTCCACTTCCTCTCTCTTCACCAAGGTATATAAATGGATATTAGCAACAGAATGCTGGGAGTATCATTTTGTTTTCTTCAATAAGAACCTTTGTCACTTTCTCTGTCAAAGTGTATAGGGGCAATTAGGCAACATTGAGGTAGAACAGTGTCAAAAACTGAGTACAGCAACTCATCAGCCCTTCATCTTAGTACAAAACTGCATCAAGTTCTCATTACATGGGTTCATAGTTATGGCTCATGTCTGACCGTGCTGACACTAACATACAGTCAACTGTCTCTTAATGGACACCTCTATAAGACAGACACCTCCTTAAAATGGACACCTTGATTTTGTCCCTGCCTTTCTTCCCTCCTTTTAGTTGACTCCCAATAAGATGGACACATAGAGAGAGTTATCTTAGAGATAGTTCGGCATTACCAAAATAATAATAATTTTATTAACAGTGTATTTAGTTAGCTACTAAACAATAATTATTTGTCTGTCAATTATTGACAAAATTCTGCTACCCTGAAGGAGTTTTGAGCACTGCACCAGGGACCTACCATCCCCCTTTTTTAGCACCAGTACATGAGAAAGGAACAGAATTCATTGTTCCTTCACAGTCCAGTCCTACAAAATAGCTGCTTCTCTGTCTTGGACTATTAATTAGCACTTTTAATAATTAACTGCATATATCAAGCAAGTGAGTTTACTTACCCATTTGAGGACACATTTTATCCACTGCATACACAGTTCCATTATACTTGAATACTGCAATCCTATGATTATTTACTGACACCAGTCAACCAACACATCTCCTGGATTTTATTTGGCTATGAATGTCTTCTGAGTAAATCGCTTCTCCAGAGAAATTTCTGGCAGATCTGACCAAAAGGAAACCAATAATACTGATCATCACCAAGTTAAAATAAACTAAGGAAAAAAGGATACAGGTACATGTACTTATTTTCACTACATATTTTCAAATACAGCCTAATTTAACTCAATAAAATGTAACCGCTGTAATCCCGTATAACCACCTGTAACCCCTTGTATACCCATGTAACTGTTTACTTGCAAATAGTGAGAAATCAACGATTTCTATAAAGAACACATTATAACCTCCTATAACCCTTTGTGACCCCCCAGAACCCTTGTAACCCCCTGTAACACCTGTGACCCCCTGAAATGCCCTGTAACTCCCTGTAACCCCTTCTAGCCCCCTGTAACCTCCTATAACATCGTCACCCCTTATAACCTCTTATAACTCCCTGCAACCCCTTGTAACTCCTTTAAACTCATTATAACCCTTGTAACCGCTATCACCCCTTGTAACCTCCTAACTAGCGCGGTTAAATAAATCTGTTGTTCATGTTGTTGTAACAAACTGTAATCCCTGTAATCCCCTGTAACTGTCCCCTTGTAACCCACTGTAACCCCTTGTTACCACCAGTAACACCCAGTAACTCCCTTTAAACCCCTGTAACCCATTATAAATCCCTGTAACCCCTTTCAACTCATTGTAACTCCCCGCAACCCCTGATTACCACTTGCCACTCCCTAACTAGCATCTAAGTGAACAATAATGTTGTTCATGTTGTTCTTACCCCCTGTAATACCCTGTACACCCCTGTAAGCCCCTATCACCCCTTGCAACCACCTGTCACCCCTTGTTACCCCTTTAACCCCTTGTTACCCACTGTAACCCCTTGTAACTAACCCCTTGTAAACTAGCTGTAATGTGTAAATTTTAAGTAATTAATTATTCTCTACAATTTGTAGCATTTTGCTTTTGGAAATCATCTTTAGTTTTGTGTGGCTAGCACAGTTAAATAAATCTGTTGTTGCTCTTTGTCTTGTTGTTGTTACGCCCTGTAATGCCCAGTAATCTTCTTTAATCCCCTGTAACCCCCTGTAATGCTCAGTCAATTCCCAGCAAGCCTATTCCTCCCCTCGGGCATTTGTCAGGCAATTGTCATTTTTTGGGGGACAAGCTGCAAATGCCCCACAGTGGTGCTAAAAAAGTGTGCAAATACCACACTCCTGGACAACACCAAAATTGCATTTTTCGGTAAATAAGCTGCAAATGTCATATTTTTGTAGAAAATCTGTAATAATCTGATCAAAATGCATGATACACCCTTCGCAAATCACTCCTAGCCACTAGGTTATAACTATTGCAAAAAAGATCACATCGATCTGTTAAATATCAATGTCACAACACCTGACGGGCTTGACTGATTGATTGATTAATTTATTAATTTATTTATCGTTACATGCTGTCATTTTGCATATATGAGAAAATCACAGGGGCTAAAATTGTCCATATGTACATGAGGAGAAACACCACACAGAGTATCATCTTGAGGCATGATGCAACCCACTGGCTCAATGACTTCACATATTCATCCATGTCAATGAGTTTATATTCTGATACCACTACTTCATCCTCTGTGCCAACAATACCCTCTGGAGTGTAAAAATTGCTGACTGTCATTAAGAGGTGTAGACAGATCAATATAAGGAACAGATAGTACATTAGGTATGCAGATACAAGAAGTGGTTGGTCGTCATTCTCAGCACTCTCCTGGTTATCACTTTGGGCACGGAAAATATGAAAGTCAGTGAGATTAACAGTGGTGAACAGATGTTCAACGGAAGGCACTCGCATGACACCATATACAAGTACTAAAAATGTTGTACAGAGATCAATGATCATGTTCAGCTGAATGTGGAAATTAAACTCAGTGGCGAATAAAACTTTCCAGCTGGGATTGCACGTTGAATATGGATAGTGCTGCATGCATGTCCATGCAAGATATATTGAATATGAAGTGACAATCCCAGCCTGAAGTAATCCAGTTTCTCTGACTTTGGGATGAATTGACAGGAGTGAAGCAATTAAGCAGAGTAGGACAATAACTGTAAAGAAAACTAGGTTTGTTTTACAGTCTTGGAGTGAAGTAGTATAAATAGCATAAAAATAAACAACAAATGACACTGACAGTGTATACAGCAACGATGTCAAGAGCAACAGTGATATATACAATCTGTTTGGGTTGGTAGATAGTTCCATTTTTTCTACCCAACATGTATTTAAATACTTGGCAAGATCAATAATTAAAACAAGTTGAATGATCATGATAATAAAACTTCCAATCCAGCCTGTATGCATCACCGCATTACTCAAGTGTCCTTCAGGAATGAAAAATGCTACAAGTATGCTTAAACAAAACAAGTGGAACTTGACAAACCACAAGCCATTCTCAAGCCAAGGGCTTAATGTTGTAAATGCTGCAAGCTGACAGTTGACCAAAGCCAAAATAAGGAAAAATAACATCATTCCAATATAAAATCTGTAGAGGAGAATGTGTCCGACCAGAGCATCACATTTTCCTTGGCTTGTATTTCTGCTACAAAAATGAGAATGGACAACAAAAAATCTCCTAAAACCAGGTAAGAATGTCAGCATTGATAACAGGACACCAAACAAAATGAATCCAATGTAAATAAGTCTTCCATGTTTTGGTTTCACAGTTGGAACACTGCAGATGGCCATCTTTAACAAGCATTATCCATGCAAAAAACTCCAGCTAATACATTGCATACAGAAAGCAAATGCAGACATCTAACAGGATTGAAGAGCTGGGCTTGTTAACATAACTTGTCTTGCTCATAGACGTTGCACCTGTGGATGAGCTCTTTCTCAGCAGTGGTTATTAGGATTGACCTTCTGCAGTGGTCATCCACAAGTTTAGAAACCATTATTGTTCCATGATTTCCTACTGAGAAGCTTAAGTGATATCCCTAGTGAACATCACCATGAGAGGTTATCCTTGTGATTTTGAATAGCAATATGAACCCAAAAAACCTTTCTTTACAGATTACTATCGGATCCTTTCCTACTTAAGAATAAATATCAAATTCAATATGATAAATTCTAAGAAATAATTTAGACTTTGTGAAACAGTATCCGAGTGTTTTTGTCAGTTGGGTGACTTAAATTTCGAAAACAACAGGTACCTGTCAGCTTCCTTAAAATTATGACAGGTTGTTTCACTTCCAATAAAACTGCCAACGGTAGCTGTTATTTAGAAAGATCCCAAATAGGAAGTGGTTATGACAATAACTTCTCAATCAGTCACAAACAACATATTGTTTTGATACGTTAAGGTCTTTTCCATTCTGAAGGTAGAAAGAAACTGGATATAAGTTATGTACATTTTTTGTAACATTATTTAATTTGGAGATTTAAGAATTTATCATATTATCACTAACGTTCCGCTAGGTTATGGCCAAGAGCAAAGAAACAGTCTATTCATGTCCAGCATTCTTTTTGTCTCATCTAAGATGGAGATTGGGGCGCTACACTGTAGAAAGCAAATAACGTGTATTAAAACTTCCTTTACTTTTTTTGATGTTGTTGACTTCTTTCAGTGTCGCTCACACTTCTGATTTATTATTCAAAATGAGACAGTGAAAAGACCAGCAAAGAAAATAACAAAAATTAAGTATAACGCTATTATATGTGATTCAGCTACGGTTTACAGTAAATATAGTGTTACCAAACGGACTCGAAAACAAAAAAGCAAAAAAAAGAAAAAAACAGGTGTTAAGTGAGTTATATTTTTGACTCTTAGTGTGTATGTGGCTCGGGGGAGGGGTGGGGGTTAGTGAGAGATGAAAATCTGGCACTACCTGCTGATTGTGGAATTGGTATAACTACCTAAGACATGAATCCACGGAGGATTTCCAATACATGAACGTATGCACCACAGGGACCCAAATATGTAAATTGCAACATGTAAACCACAGAGACGCCAAAATTTAGAACCCACAGGGGGTTCTAACAGGTGAACCAGTGAATTATTTATCCCAGAGATCCATCAGGGACTCAAACATGCAAACGAAGAGAAACCCACATGTCCAAACTTGTGACTTCACAATCCTTTTTTTGCATGTTCATTAGCTTGTGCTTAACAGCACTTACTCCATGTCTCACTTCAATGCTGTTTCTAACATCTCCCTTTCCTGGAAGCTACTGAACAGCTAGAATTGCCAGGTGCCAATAACTCAGATTCAAAAAGCACATCTAAATTCCTCATAACACAACACTGTACACCAAAGGATTCCCAACGTAAGGGCTACTTCTGTCATTCTACTTTTAAAAATCATGTAAACAGTTGATAGTCTAGTGACAATGAATTTAATCCATGAACACCCCCTATCACAACACTGTACACCACAGGTTCCCAACCTCAGTGTTACTTCTCTTATTCTTCTTTTAGAAATCACGTAAATGATTGAAATAGTCTGGTGACAATGATTTGAATCCATGATTGACATGCATGAACACCTCTTATCACAACACTGCACTCCACAGGGTCCCAACTTCGTGCTACTTCTTTCATTCTTCTTTTAAAAATCATGTCAACAATTGAAATAGTCTGGTGACAACGATTTGAATACTCCACAGGGTTCCCAACTTCAACACTACTTCGGCATTCTTTCAGAAATCAATTGAACAGTATGTTGAAATAGTCTGGTGACAATGATTCAAATCCAACAAACAGCTCTCCTTTGTAATTTACTCTCACTGGGTAAGTGCCCAGTGTTATATTCCTTTTGTGGGTTTCTTTCAGGCTGCCTGTTTGTACGCAATACTTCCAGCCATGCCAAAGATATACAACACATGGCAACGCTGCCTGGCCAATTCCTTTAATGTCCCAAAGATAGAGAGGTCCACCTACAGAGAATGGACACAAGTTCACAACTCTATCTCTCAATGATCAATCTTTGAAGGTGCAGTGGTGTAGTAGTGCATTGGATTTTCCATCTGAAAATGACCTAAAGAAATTATGTTTGTATGGGTTTCTTGAAAAAAAAACCCTTTGCTTCTTTGATTCACTGTCTCTCTTCACATAAGTCTATAAGCAGTTACTAGCATGTTATGGACTCCTGGAACTAGCAGTGTAATGTCGTCTGTATCATGTCACTGTTTTCCTACAGTCTCTCCACCCAGTTGTAATATTTGAATTCCAGTAACATAATGCTGGGAGTCTCAGCGTCAAAAACAGAGTAGGGCAACTCATTGGCACTTCATCTTAGTCAAGAGAGAATGAGATATCATTTTCATTTTCTCTTGTCTTAGTACAAAACTGCATTAAGTTCTCATTACATGGGTTCATAGTTATGGCTCATGTCTGACCGTGCTGACACTAACATACAGTCAACTCTCTCTTAATGGACACCTCTATAAGACAGACACCTCCATAAAATGGACACCTAGGTTTGGTCCCTGCCCTTCTTCACTCCTTTTAGTTGACTCCCAATAAGATGAACACATAGAGAGAGTTATCTTAGAGACAGTTGACTATTTATAAAAATAATAATATTAAAAAATAAATTTAGTTAGCTACAAAACAATAATTATTTGTCTGTCAATTATTGACAAAATTCTGCTACCCTGAAGGAGTTTTGAGCACTGTACCAGGGAACTACCATCTCCCTTATTTAGCACCAGTACATGAGAAAGGAACAGAATTCATTGTTCCTTCACAGTCCAGTCCTACAAAATAGCTACTTCTCTATCTTGGACTATTAATTAGCATTTAATTAACTGCATATATCAAGCAAGTGACATTACTTACCCATATGAGGACACATTTCATCCACTGCATGCACAGTCCCTCTATACTTGAATAGGGCAACCTTATGATTATTTACTGACACCAGTCAACCCACATGTCTCCTGGATTTTCTTTTGCTATGAATGTCTTTTGAGTAAATGGCTTCTCCAGAGAAATTTCTGGCAGATCTGACCAAAAGGAGACAAATAAATACTGATCATCACCAAGTTAAAATAAACTAAGGAAAAAAGGATACAGGTACATGTACCAATTTTCACTACGTATTTTCAAATACAGCCTAATTTAACTCAATAAAATGTAACCGCTGTAATCCCGTATAACCACCTGTAACCCCCTGCAACCCCTTGTAAACCCATGTAACCGTTTACTTGCAAATAGTGAGAAATCAACGATTTCTATAAAGAACACATTATAGCCTCCTATAACCCTTTGTGACCCCCCAGAACCCTTGTAATGCCCTGTAACACCTGTGACCCCCTGAAATGCCCTGTAACTCCCTGTAACCCCTTCTAGCCCCCTGTAACCTCCTATAATGTTGTCACCCCTTATAACCTCTTATAACTCCCTGCAACCCCTTGTAACTCCTTTAAACTCATTATAACCCCTGTAACCCCTATCACCCCTTCTAAACCCCTAACTAGCGCGGTTAAATAAATCTGTTGTTCATGTTGTTGTAACAAACTGTAATCCCTGTAATCCCCTGTAACTGTCCCCTTGTAACCCACTGTAACCCCTTGTCACCACCAGTAACACCCAGTAACCCCCTTTAAACCCCTGTAACCCATTATAAATCCCTGTAACCCCTTTCAACTCATTGTAACTCCCCGCAACCCCCGATTACCACTTGCCACTCCCTAACTAGCATCTAAGTGAATAATAATGTTGTTCATGTTGTTCTTACCCCCTGTAATACCCTGTACACCCCTGTAAGCTCCTGTCACCCCTTGTTACCCCTTTAACCCCTTGTTACCCCCTGTCAACCCTGGTAACCCCTTGTAACTAACCCCTTGTAAACTAGCTGTAATGTGTAAATTTTAAGTAATTAATTATTCTCTACAATTTGTAGTATTTTGCTTTCCAATAGTGAACATCACATTGCTCTTTCTTTTTGTAATGTTTGTTTGCCTTTGCCCCACCTGGAAATCATCTTTAGTTTTGTGTGGCTAGCACAGTTAAATAAATCTGTTGTTGCTCTTTGTCTTGTTGTTGTTACACCCTGTAATGCCCAGTAATCTTCTTTAATCCCCTGTAATCCCCTGTAATGCTCAGTCAATTCCCAGCAAGCCTATTCCTCCCCTCGGGCATTCATCAGGCAATTGTCATTTTTTGGGGGACAAGCTGCAAATGCCCCACAGTGGTGCTACAATAGTGTGCAAATACCCAATCCTGGACAACACCAAAATTGCATTTTTCGGTAAATAAGCTGCAAATGTCATATTTTTGTAGAAAATCTGTAATAATCTGATCAAAATGCATGATACACCCTTTGCAAATCACTCCTAGCCACTAAGTTATAACTATTGCAAAAAAGATCACATCAATCTGTTAAATATCAATGTCACAACACCTGACGGGCTTGACTGATTGATTGATTAATTTATTAATTTATTTATCTTTACATGCTGTCATTTTGCATATATGAGAAAATCACAGGGGCTAAAATTGTCCATATGTACATGAGGAGAAACACCACACAGAGTATCATCTTGAGGCATGATGCAACCCACTGGCTCAATGACTTCACATATTCATCCATGTCAATGAGTTTATATTCTGATACCACTACTTCATCCTCTGTGCCAACAATACCCTCTGGAGTGTAAAAATTGCTGACTGTCATTAAGAGGTGTAGACAGATCAATATAAGGAACAGATAGTACATTAGGTATGCAGATACAAGAAGTGGTTGGTCGTCATTCTCAGCACTCTCCTGGTTATCACTTTGGGCACGGAAAATATGAAAGTCAGTGAGATTAACAGTGGTGAACAGATGTTCAACGGAAGGCACTCGCATGACACCATATACAAGTACTAAAAATGTTGTACAGAGATCAATGATCATGTTCAGCTGAATGTGGAAATTAAACTCAGTGGCGAATAAAACTTTCCAGCTGGGATTGCACGTTGAATATGGATAGTGCTGCATGCATGTCCATGCAAGATATATTGAATATGAAGTGACAATCCCAGCCTGAAGTAATCCAGTTTCTCTGACTTTGGGATGAATTGACAGGAGTGAAGCAATTAAGCAGAGTAGGACAATAACTGTAAAGAAAACTAGGTTTGTTTTACAGTCTTGGAGTGAAGTAGTATAAATAGCATAAAAATAAACAACAAATGACACTGACAGTGTATACAGCAACGATGTCAAGAGCAACAGTGATATATACAATCTGTTTGGGTTGGTAGATAGTTCCATTTTTTCTACCCAACATGTATTTAAATACTTGGCAAGATCAATAATTAAAACAAGTTGGACGATCATGATAATAAAACTTCCAATCCAGCCTGTATGCATCACCGCATTACTCAAGTGTCCTTCAGGAATGAAAAATGCTACAAGTATGCTTAAACAAAACAAGTGGAACTTGACAAACCAAAAGCCATTCTCAAGCCAAGGGCTAAATGTTGTAAATGCTGCAAGCTGACAGTTGACCAAAGCCAAAATAAGGAAAAATAACATCATTCCAATATAAAATCTGTAGAGGAGAATATGTCCGACCAGAGCATCACATTTTCCTTGGCTTGTATTTCTGCTACAAAAATGAGAATGGACAACAAAAAATCTCCTAAAACCAGGTAAGAATGTCAGCATTGATAGCAGGACACCAAATAAAATGAATCCAATGTAAATAAGTCTTCCATGTTTTGGTTTCACAGTTGGAACACAGCAGATGGCCATCTTTAACAAGCATTATCCATGCAAAAAACTCCAGCTAATACATTGCATACAGAAAACAAATGCAGACATATAACAGGATTGAAGAGCTGGGCTTGTTAACATAACTTGTCTTGCTCATAGACTTTGCACCTGTGGATGAGCTCTTTCTCAGCAGTGGTTATTAGGATTGACTTTCTCCAGTGGTCATCCACAAGTTTAGAAACCATTATTGTTCCATGATTTCCTACTGAGAAGCTTAAGTGATATCCCTAGTGAAAATCACCATGAGAGGTTATCCTTGTGATTTTGAATAGCAATATGAACCCAAAAAACCTTTCTTTACAGATTACTATCGGATCCTTTCCTACTTTAGAATAAATATCAAATTCAAAATGATAAATTCTAAGAAATAATTTAGACTTTGTGAAACAGTATCCGAGTGTTTTTGTCAGTTGAGTGACTTAAATTTCGAAAAAAACAGGTACCTGTCAGCTTCCTTAAAATTATGACAGGTTGTTTCACATCCAATAAAACTGCCAACGGTAGCTGTTATTTAGAAAGATCCCAAATAGGAAGTGGTTATGACAATAACTTCTCAATCAGTCACAAACAACATATTGTTTTGATACGTTAAGGTCTTTTCCATTCTGAAGGCCTCACCTACTAACCCCCCCCCCCCCCCCCCCCCCCCCCCCC